ATATTCCACAAAGGGGGCAATAACATAAAATGGAGTAAAGATAGCCTCTTCAACAAATGGTGTTGGGAGAACTGGACAGCTACATGCAAAAAAATAAAACTTGAGCACCAATTTACACCGTACACCAAAATAAATTCAAGGTGGATAAAAGACTTAAATATAAGCAGTTTCCTCTAGAACATTATTAAAGTTCTAGAGGAAAACATCAGAAAGAAAATCTCAGATATTTCACGCAGCAACATTTGTACTGATATGTCCTCTAGAGCAAGGAATATAAAGGAAAGAATAAACAAATGGGATCTCATCAAAGTAAAAAGCTTCTGCATGGCTAAAGAAAACAGTATTAAATTAAAAAGACAACCAACTGTATGGGAAAACATATTTGCCAATGATACCTCAGACAAAGGTTTAATCTCCAAAATATACAAAGAACTTACACGACTCCACTCTAAGAAGACATCTAACCCAATTAAAAAATGGGAAAAGGACTTGAACAGACACTTCTCCAAGGAGGACATACAGAATATCCAGAGACACATGAAGAGATGATCAATATCACTAGCTATCAGAGAGATGCAAATTAAAACCACAATGAGATACCACTTTACACCAGTCAGGATGGCTATCATAAACAAAGCAACAAACAACAAATGTTGGAGAGGTTGTGGAGAAAGGGGGTCCTTAGTTCACTGTTGGTGGGATTGCAGACTGGTACAACCATTATGGAAAACAGTATGGAATTTTCTCAGAAAAAGAAAAATCGACCTGCCTTTTGACCCAGCAATCCCACTGCTAGGATTATATCCTAAGAATCCTAAAACATCATTTTCAAAGAGAGAGAATATAACTAGATGAAAATTTTTTAAAATAGGCACACATTTTATAGTAAAATAAACAGTCACTTTGAAAAACAAAGAAATGTTTATCAAAATCCTTATTTTTACTATATCCCAAACTATTACAAATTGTTGACTAACCCCAACAACTAACGAAACTACAGCTGCCTCTCACAACTAAAATTTATAAATACTTACAGTAAGAATATTTAAGATTTGATTATTTTTAAATTATTTTTTACTTAGTTATTTTCAACTACAGGTTTTTGTCTATTTCTCCCAACCCAGCTGCCCCCCATCCCGTGCTCCCCACCACCCTCTCATCTCCCCCCCAGCTCTCGTCCCTGTGTCCTTCATATTTGTTCCTCCAAATCCTTCCCCCTTTTCCCCCTTAAATTCTCTTCCCTCTCCCCTCTGGTCACTGTCCCCTTGTTCTCTATTTCAGTGTCTTTGTTTTTATTCTGCTTGCTTGTTAGTTTTGTTGTTTAGCTTTCTGTTAAAGGTGAGATCATGTGGTATTTGTCTTTCAACCCCTGGCCTATTTCACTCAGCATAATGCTTTCCAGTTCCATCCATGTCGTTGCAAAGGGTAGTAGCTCCTTCTTTCTCTCTGCTGCATAGAATTTCATTGTGTACGTGTACCACAATTTTTTGATCCATTCATTTACTGACGGGCACCTAGGTTGCTTCCAACTCTTGGCTATTGTAAATTGTGCTGCTATGAACATTGTGGTGCATAGGTGTTTTGACATTGATGTTTTAGGATTCTTAGGATATAATCCTAGCAGTGGGATTGCTGGGTCAAAAGGCAGGTCGATTTTTATTTTTCTGAGAAAATTCCATACTGTTTTCCATAATGGTTGTACCAGTCTGCAGTCCCACCAACAGTGAACTAAGGACCCCCTTTCTCCACAACCTCTCCAACATTTGTTGTTTGTTGCTTTTTTTTATGATAGCCATCCTGACTGGTGTAAAGTGGTATCTCATTGTGGTTTTAATTTGCATCTCTCTGATAGCTAGCGATATTGAGCATCTCTTCATGTGTCTCTGGATATTCTGTATGTCCTCCTTGGAGAAGTGTCTGTTCAAGTCCTTTTCCCATTTTTTAATTGGGTTAGATGTCTTCTTAGAGTGGAGTCGTGTAAGTTCTTTGTATATTTTGGAGATTAAACCTTTGTCTGAGGTATCATTGGCAAATATGTTTTCCCATACAGTTGGTTGTCTTTTTAATTTAATACTGTTTTCTTTAGCCATGCAGAAGCTTTTTACTTTGATGAGATCCCATTTGTTTATTCTTTCCTTTATATTCCTTGCTCTAGAGGACATATCAGTACAAATGTTGCTGCGTGAAATATCTGAGATTTTCTTTCTGATGTTTTCCTCTAGAACTTTAATAATGTTCTAGAGGAAACTGCTTATATTTAAGTCTTTTATCCACCTTGAATTTATTTTGGTGTACGGTGTAAATTGGTGCTCAAGTTTTATTTTTTTGCATGTAGCTGTCCAGTTCTCCCAACACCATTTGTTGAAGAGGCTATCTTTACTCCATTTTATGTTATTGCCCCCCTTTGTGGAATATTAATTGACTGTAGAGAGTTGGGTTTATTTCTGGGCTCTCTGTTCTGTTTCATTCATTGGTCTATGTGCCTGTTTTTATGCCAGTACCAGGCTGTTTTGATTACAGTGGCCTTGTAATACAGTTTGATATCGGTATTGTGATCCATCCTACTTTGTTCTTCTTTCTCAAAAGTGCAGCTGCTATTCGGGGTCATTTATGGTTCCATATAAATTTTTGAAGTGTTTGTTCTATGTCTGTGAAATATGCCATTGGTACTTTAATAGGTATTGCATTGAGTCTGTATATTGCTTTGGGTGGTATGGACATTTTGATGATGTTAATTCTTCCAATCCATGAACACGGTATATGTTTCCATTTGTTTGTATCTTCCCTGATTTCTTTCTTCAGGGCTGTGTAGTTTTCTGCATACAGGTCTTTTACCTCCTTGGTTAGGTTTATTCCCAGATATTTTATTTTTCTTTTTGCTATATCGAATGGGATTTTTTTCTTGATTTCTGCTTCTTCTGATTCATTGTTGGTACACAAAAAAATGCCTTTGATTTCCAGATATTGACTTTGTAACCCGCTGTTTTGCCAAATTCATTAATTAGTTTGAGCAGTTTTTGGGTAGAGTCTATAGGATTTTCCATGTACACTATCATGTCATCTGCAAACAGTGACAGTTTTGCTTCCTCCTTTCCTATTTGGATGCCTTTTATTTCCTTTTCTTGCCTGATCGCTGTGGCCAAAACTTCCAAAACTATATTGAATAGAAGTGGTGAAAGTGGACACCCTTGTCTTGTTCCTGATCTTAGTGGAAAAGGTTTTAATTTTTGCCTATTGAGTATGATATTGGCTGTAGGTCTCTCATATATGGCTTTATTATATTGAGGAATGCTCCCTCTATTCCTACTTTGCTGAGTGTTTTTATCATAAATTGGGTGTTGTACTTTATCAAAAGCTTTTTCTGCGTCTACTGATACGATCATGTGGTTTTTGTCTTTGGTTTTGTTTATGTGATGTATTACATTTACTGATTTGCGAATATCGAACCATCCTTGCATCCCTGGGATGAATCCCACTTGGTCATGGTGTATGATCTTTTTGATATATTGTTGGATGCGATTTGCCAATATTTTGTTGAGGATTTTAGTGTCTATGTTCATCAGCGATATTGGCCTGAAGTTTTCTTTATTTGTTGCGTCTGTATCTGGTTTTGGAATTAAGATGACGCTTGCTTCATAAAAAGAATCTGGGAGTTTTCCATCCTTCTGCATGTTTTGGAATAGTCTGTGGAGAATAGGGGTTAGCTCTTCCTTAAATGCTTTGTAGAATTCTTCTGTGAAACCATCTGGTCCAGGGCTTTTGTGTGATGGGAGGTTTTTGATTACTGCTTCAATTTCTTTTGCTGTTATTGGTGTGTTCAGATTTTCTGTTTCGTTTTCATTAAGTTTTGGAAGATTATATTTTTCTAGAAATGTGTCCATTTCCCCTGGGTTTTTAAATTTCTTGGCATACAGTTCTTCACAGTAATTTCTAACAATCCCTTCTATTTCTGTGGTATCAGTTGTAATCTCTCCTCTTTCATTTCTGATTGTGTTTATTTGAGTCCTCTCTCTTCTTTTCTTAATGAGCCTACTTAAAGGCTTGTCTATTTTGTTTATCTTCTCAAAAAACCAACTCCTGGATTTGTTGATCCTTAGAATTGTGCTTTTAATCTCTATGTCATTAAGTTCTGCTCTAATCTTGGTTATTTCCTTCCTTCTGCTTGCTCTGGGCTGTCTTTGTTGTTGTTCTTTGAGTTCTTGCAGGTGTAGGGTTAGGTTGTTTGTTTGAAATGTTTCTATCTTCTTTAGGTAGGCCTGTATTGCTATAAACTTCCCTCTCAGGACTGCCTTCGCTGTGTCCCATAAGTTTTGGTTTGTTGTGAGTTCGTTTTCATTTGTTTCCAGAAATGTTTTGACTTCTTCCCTAATTTCATTCTTGACCCATTCGTTGTTTAATAGCGTACCATTCAGTCTCCATGATTTTGGGTTCTTTGGGTTTTTTCCTTTGGGGTTGGTTTCCAATTTCAGTCCCTTGTGGTCAGAGAAGATGCTTGGTATGATTTCAATTTTCTTGAACTTTTTGAGGCTCATTTTGTGTCCTATCATGTGGTCTATCATTGAAAATGTTCCATGTGCATTTGAAAAGAATGGGTATTTAGCTTCTTTGGGATGAAGGGCTCTATATATATCAGTTAAGTCCATTTCATCTAGGGTGTTGTTTAATGAGGTTTGATTATTAAGTGTGAAATGAGATATATATAAAACCATGAAGAGAAAAAAACACGGGATAAAAGATAACTATTAATGCATTAAAGACATTTGAAAATGCATGGTGTTTCGTACACATGCATTGCCTTTTGAGCAATCTGCAGGCACTTATAAACCCCAACCAATCACAATGCTGCCAGGCACTGACCAATGGCATCATGGCGACTAGATTGTATTTCTTAGACCCAATTCAAAGGCAACCACCTGTAATACATACCCATTAGCTTTAGGTTCTTGCTATATTAATTCCTGGGCAGAGATTTAACAAGAATTTGTTTTATTTCCCTCCAGGTGATAAAGTCATCCCACTCTTCGTTCCCCAGTGTGGGAAATGCAGTGTCTGTAAACACCCAGAAGGCAACTTGTGCTTGAAAAATGAGTAAGTTTCTGATACTCTCTTTACATAGCCAATGAATTTACACTGTGGTTATACTCTTGTCTCATGCTCTGTGTGTCTCTGTGTTGTACTGGCCAGGTTAATCATGCCTAAGGGGACCATGGAGGATGGTACCAGCAGGTTCACCTGCCGAGGAAAGACCATCAACCACTACCTTAGCACCAGCACCTTCTCCCAGTACACAGTGGTGAACGAGAACTCAGTGGCCAAGATTGATGCAGCCGCACCACTAGAGAAAGTCTGTCTCATTGGCTGTGGATTCACTACCGGTTATGGATCTGCAGTCAAAGTTGCCAAGGTGGGAATGAACAATGCATGATAAAACCAGTTGTACTTGGACAGTCAGGAACCAAAAGGAAAGTGGGTTTTTTTAATTGTTCAAGTACAGTGGTCTCCGTTTTCCTGCCACCACAGGAAAGTGGTTTCTCACAGCAATTAAAGATAATTCTTCATAGATTTACTGGTAGCTTCCCCCTCACTACCACAATAACATTAATATACTCCTTAGAATTTAAGTCGTTGATTATGAGTAGAAAAATGTCTTCAGGGAGAATTAAGAGCATATCCTAGAAAATGTATCTGTTTAGAACAAGTGAAAAACTGTTGACAATTAGTGAAGAAAAAGTAAAGATGCCATTTTCAATCATTATTTGTTTCTATTTGTTCTTTATGAGATTACTAAATTTTCAAGCTGAGACCTCATTTAGTCATTTATTCTCTGATGAGTCAGCAGAAACATAACACCAGGCACAGTAGGTTCTGCTAGTTTTTGAGGCAGCCAAAGTAAATGAAATGAAAGAGTTGCCTTTGAGCAGAATCTAGTCCATGAATCCTCTACTCCCAGAATTAGCATTAACAGTAGATTCCAAAGTCTTATCTGCTACACCTCCAGACCAAGCAGCACCAACATAACTGCTTTGTAGATGGCTATGAGGAAAGCAATGAAGTTTCAGTAATGTGTTTTGCATTTATTCCACTCATTAGGGGATTTCACTGCTGCTACTCCTCCCCTGTCATGAACATGCACACATGCACAAACACACACGCACACACACACTCAGAGGTGGTAGGTTTGAAAAAGAAATTCTTTAAGGTCCCTCTTCCCAAAAGTTTGAAACTCTAGGAGGCCCAGATACCTAAAGCTATTTGCCCAAAATCTTATGGCAGGTTAGAATGAAAGCTGTGACTAGCATCTTTCTCCAAATCCCTGCTGAATCTGAAACCATTACATATTATTACCTACATTTTAAAATTACAATCACAAGCGCCATACTTTTCTAAGTAAAGTAAAAAGTGATGAAGTGCCCCAGAGAATGGCTAGGTACAGAAGGAATATTTTACCCATACTGAAGGCTGACTCCTAAAGCAGAGTAGATATATTAAAGTCATTAGCTGATTTCAACAACTGACAGCACTAAGTCTGTGACTGTAGCACTAAGTCCCTTGTGCAATTGCATCATCTGTTTGAGCAGATGATCTAACTGAGCCTACACACAGAGCAGAAGCCGAGGGCACTCATGATAATGAATTTTAACCATTATTGAAATGTAGAGCAACTTTTTACTAAATTATTATTCATTAGTATATTTTTAAAAAGCAAAGGTAAAAACCTACTAAGATTACACTGGTCTTAAGCGGTATTACCTTAAAGTTTTGAGTTAATTTCCCCAGTCATTAGGTTTGGTTTTAAGCTGAGAATAACTTTTCTACCTCACAGCTAATTTCTGCTCTCATTATACTAGTAATGACTACTGAAAGTTAATGAACCGGGGAGTTAATCATTGTGGGTTTGGTTAGATTAATTTTGGCCTCCTGGAATACCTTTTCCACTTATTTAATTTCTCCAAAATTGTTTTGCGTGTGTACAATTTACTGGAGCCTGTCAATGGATTGCCGTCACTAGGTTCTCTACAAGATAGGAGTCATTGGCATTTAGAGCTCTGAGATCCTCTAGTCCCTGGCTCCCAGCCTCTGCTTCCTATTGGAGTCACCTGGGAACTGTGTCCTACCTGCAGAGATAGAATTGGTTATGGGCTGTGACCTGGGCACTGAGAAGTTTTAAAGCTCCCTAGGTGATTCTAATGTCTGCAAAGTTTGAGAACCACTGATCTAGTTCAAAGCCTTCAATTTAAACATGAACCAGCCCTGGCTGGTGTAGTTCAGTGGATTGAGTGCGGGCCTGTGAACCAGAGTATTGAGGTTCGATTCCCAGTCAGGGCACATGCCTGGGTTGCAGGCCAGTTCCCAGCAGGGGACCCATAAGAGGCAACCACACATTGATGTTTCTCTCCCACTCTTTCTCCTTCCCTTCCCCTCTCTCGAAAAATAAATTAAAAAAAAATATTTTAAACATGAACCAACAGAAGCCAAAAGAGGTTTGAGAGCAAGTTGGACAGAAGAATCTGAATAGTACTGATAATGGATAAGATATGGCACTTCATACAGTTTAGTTACTTTCCAACAATAATTACTTAATCCATCTTCACATTTTCTGAAACATAGGTCACCCCAGGCTCCACCTGTGTGGTGTTTGGCCTCGGAGGAGTCGGCCTATCTGTGATCATGGGCTGTAAAGTGGCTGGAGCGGCCAGGATCATTGGGGTGGACATCAACAAAAGCAAATTTGAGAAGGCAAAGGAATTGGGTGCCACTGAGTGTATCAGCCCACAGGACTTCAAGAAACCCATCGAGGAGGTGCTGAGGGAAATGAGCAATGGAGGTGTAGATTTTTCATTTGAAGTCGTTGGTTTACTTGACACCATGGTATGTACTGTGAAATGCTTTGAAATATGTGTTTCTGCATTCTAGAGTAGGTTTTAGGCAGCAGAATATAGATATTATATGTGCAGAATATTTTTAAACTATGAATGGTGTTTTTTCTATCTCCTATTTGATACCTGGATTGTTTAATTTATTACTATAAGAAAAGTTTCATTTTGTCACCTAAGCAAACTACTTCCACTTTAGAGAGTGAAGACAGGTTTTTTTATTGAGCCATTTTTAACTTTCTTTGTTAATTTTTAGTTTAAAAATTCAAACTCAAATAAATATAAATAATACAAATTCACAAACCATTATCAATTACCATGCAAAAGACATCTCCAGCTATATTTCTTCCAGCTTCTCATGTGGAATTGGATTGTTACTTTAATTAAAGACACCAAATATCTAATAGCCACATGTTCTGGGCTTACCTGGTTTTCCAAATGCCATACTTCATAATCAAAGGACTAATCATTATGTATACTTCTGGGGACCCTAAATTTTTTTTCCTACTACAAAAATATTTAAAACATTGACTGGGTCAGAGATACTCTCTTTCGAAGTTCTAGAATAATAGGTATGGTTTAAAATAAAATCAATGTATATTTTGGGAAGGCAAAAGCACATTTCAAACATGTTCATTTCAGTCCAATAGGTATGTCCATTTGTACTCATCGTCATTAATTATCAGGGCAGTGTAAATCAAAACTATAATGAGATAACACCTCATCACTCCTCTTAAGATGACTGCTATCAAAAGGTCCAAGACATGGCCTTGGCAAGGTTGTGGTGCACTGTCAGAGGGGACGTAAATTGGCTCAACCATTACAAAAAGCATTGTAGAACTATCATATAACCTAGCAATTCTACTTCTAGGTATATATCCAAATAAAGTGAAATCACTACCTCAAGTAGCTATGTGCACCCCTATGTTTACTGAAGCATTATTCGCAGCAGCCAAGATGTGGAAACAAGCTAAGTATCTATCAACTGATGGCCAAATAAAGAAATTTTCACCCTGGCTGGTGTGGCCCAGTGGATTGAGGGCTGGCCTGCAAAACAAGGGGTCGCCAGTTTGATTCCCAGTCAGGGCGCATGCCTGGGTTGCAGGTCAGGCCCCCAGTAGGAGGCTCACAAGAGGCAACCACACATTGATGTTTCTCTTCCTCTCATTCTCCCTCCCTTCCTCTCTAAAAATAAACAGATAAATAAGATCTTTAAAAAAAGAAATTGTGATATGTGTATAGTGGAATATTATTCAACCATAACATCAGAAAAATTCTGCCATTTGCAACAATATAAATAAAACTAGAGGAAAGTATGCTAAGTAAAATAAGCTAGACAGATAAATACTTTGTGATCTCCCTTATATGTGAAGTCTAATAAAGCTGAAGTCTTAGAACCATTGAGTACAATGGTGGTTGGCATAAGTAATGGGGGGATGTTGGTAAAAGGGTACAAACTTTCAGTTATAAAATGAGTAAATTCTGAAAATCTAATCTACAGCACGGTGATTATGGTCATTAATACCATATTCTATACTTCAAGTTTGCTAAGGGAATAAACATCAAGTGTTCTCACCACAAAACAAAAGAAAATGGTAACCATATGAGGGATGTGTTAATTTGACTGTGGTAATCACTTCATATTGCATATGTATATTAAATAATTACATAGTATGCCCTAAGGAAACATATTTTATAACCTGACTATATGCAGATTTTATTTGGTAATTATACCTTAACAAAGCTGGATAAATACATAAATCAGAAAAAGTATCCACATTAGAAATGGACAGTAGTATATGGAACCATTAAAAAGGGAGACCATCAAGTGGACCAGAGACAAATTATGATGATGTAATTACCTTATATCTCACTCACCATCAAAACACCTGGTTCAAAGTACTGAGTTCAAAATATCTATTTAATAAACAAAAAGAAAATAAGTTAACCCACTCAGATTGCCAGTGAGTTGTGTGATGACAAAATATTACTTGTATTTAAGGAATCAGACTTTTTACAGGTATGTTTGTAATGATGTTCGCCTCTTCATTATTTTTAAAAAGAATTATGAATACACAAATTCATTCATCCATTGTCTTATTCAAAACATATTTCCTGGGTTTTTTCTAAAGCCACAGCACTATCCTAGGCATAATGGGGAATGAAGATGCCAAAGATATAACCTCTTCCCTCCACATGTTCACAGTCTAGCTAGATCAATATTACATGATACTGTAGATCGTGAGTGAGGACTATCATAGAATCCACTTTAATGATGCCAAATATTAATTTTATTCCAGGTGGCTGCTTTGTCATGCTGTCAAGATGCATATGGTGTCAGCGTCATTGTAGGAGTACCTCCTAATTCCAAAAATCTCTCCATGGACCCCATGTTGCTATTGACTGGGCGTACCTGGAAAGGAGCATTTTTTGGTGGTATGTGTTTAGGTTCAAGAGCTGAATTTTTTTTAACCTCAGGACTTCTTCCCCTCATCAAGTTCCAAGGCCAGGTTTTAAAGATCAACATGGTTAAAATAAATGTAAAATCCTTTGCATCTATAGGTTCCAAATCAACCACATGTGGAACTAATGCACAAGTTCCCGAGACAGATTTTTCTCGTGTCCCGATAAACTAGGGTATTTCATCACCACTTCTTTTTATACATGTGACTCCACAAGGCACTGAATATACCTACTAGGATCCATGAAATCCAGAGTAACCATCCATGTCTGCTTTCATTACCCAAATTTAGACAATTGTGCAATTTGCTCCTTGACTTTGGAAATAACCATCCATACTATAATTTCTTTGTGAGAGAGCTAATAACTAAGGACCCTTGATTATCTAGGCAGATTTTTTAAGTAAAAAAAAAAAGTCTAACCACTACTAGAGGATATTGAAGCAATCTGTCTCTTATTAACCTCAGTAATAGTACTCTGAGTAGAACTTTCATTTTAACTCTATTAGGAAAGTCTCCTATCCAGTTCTCTTACCCCTAGCTGCATCTAACAATTGTGTCATTTTCTTTTCAGGTTTTAAGAGCAAAGAGTCTGTCCCCAAACTTGTGGCTGACTTTATGGCTAAGAAATTTTCATTTGATCCATTAATAACCCATGTTTTACCTTTTGAAAAAATAAATGAAGGATATGAACTGCTTCGCAGTGGAAAGAGGTAGTTTTTAAGTTTCCTTTTAGAATAGGGTTTTGGTTAACAGAAAGAAGGTGAAAATAGGAGAAAAGCATTGGAGTGCCTTGGTTTTCCATTACTAATTCAGTCTTTTCATGCAAGACCATATTGTAAGAAACTAGGAATAATAGCTTTGCATTTTGTGTTCTGCTGAAATGAAATTACATATGTTGGTTATGGTGAGTCCAAATTATAAAAGCCACTGACCTTTATTTACAAGAGAACACTCACCCTTGCAAGGAAAAAAATCAGAGTCATAATCATAACCTGGAGCTCCTGCAGCCTCTGCCTGGCCACCTAAAAAGATTGACCATTAGTGGCCGTAAATTTAAATTATATATGGGAGTAGGTGGAGCTCCATTGGGATTGTTTTCTATGCAGATATCACAATAATTTCTTTAAAAAACTGTTATCTTTTTTCAATATACAAAGAATTTTTCACAAATAAGAATGGTAGTAAAGAAGAATGTTCTTGTAAATGTTTGTCTTAATTTTTTTCATAGCTTAGCAAAACAAGCCAATTTCACTTCATAGCCCTAAAGTTTAACTCCACAACCACCTACAAAGAAAAAAATTGTTGTTTGCATTATAGATGAGGCACAACTAGCAATAGGCAGTTATACCTAACTTCCACCTTCTAGTTTCATAGCCCAAACTTTTTCTACTACTTCACACTTCTTCTCATGAGGTTTTCAATTTTAAGTTGAAAGTTTAATTATTTCTTAAGTACCCACACACTTAACATATTATACTAGACATTTAGTCTGATAAGTATTATTGAAGAGGGAAAGAAACTAGCATCACAGAGCATCAGATTACACCCTTTCTAGAAAGCAATTTGGTAATTTGTATCAGGGGAAAAAAAACCTGACATGCTTTGTCTGGACAATTCTATTTCTGGGAATCTATTCTAAAAAATAATCAGATAATGCAAATACCTCTATTTAAGCATAGTCATCTGTTATATATAACAACAAAATTGTAACTATCCTAAAAGTTCAACATTACAGAGATGGTTTCAAGAGCTTCCAACATGTACTAAAAACCAAAGAAGTCATTAATAAGAAATGGTTTCATAATATAATTTCAGATTATAGAGTAAAGAATATAAACTTGTATGTACAATATGATCCCAAGTTCTCAACAAGCACAATAAAAAATGTACATATGTCTAGAAAAAAAGTTGATCAAAATGCAAGAAAATATTAACACTGATTATCTCTTAGTTGTGGGATAACAGGCTATTTTAATTATATTTACTCTGTCCTTTAACTTCTAAATTATCTAGATATTTTCTTGTGTATATATATAATATATATGTACACACACACGTGTATGTATATAAAATTATATATGTATAATTTTTGTAGGCATGAAGACCTTCTTTTCCTAAAAGCATTTATACATCAGAAGATGATTTTTAGAAGGAACATTAGTTTCAGTGTAAATGTTATGTTTCTGATCTTTCCAAGAGCAGAGTGTCCCTAAATACAAATCATCTTTTTCTACTTCCAAGGCTCCTTAAGCACTGCTTTATCAAGGCCCCATTAAACCTTCAACATGGTCGTAACTATTACATTATTACTTCTTTTAATGAAGTTACATGTCATCTTGCAATTTGTGTAATTTTGTATTTGGGTTTAAATCCCAGAACTTCACACTAGATATGTGACCTAGGGCACATTACAAATCTCTCCAAACCTCAGTATTTTCATCTCTAAACTAGAAATAACATTAGAACCTGCCTCATAGCATTGTTAAAAATTAGTTTACTCCTCAATAATGCCTAAATGGCAGTCATGTTCAGGCTGTTATGTTTGAGTTTAAGGTTGGAGAAAATACAAGACCAAACTTGGAAAAAGTGAACTGCTGCTCTTTGACTTGAATTTAGTGCAAAGGGTTGTGAATGGAGTGGCAGGAAACACAAAGCTGTTCACTGACACACATCAGATGCTCCTTAGGCTCTCACGCAGAAGAGTGAATCATCTAAACATTAAAACAATTAACACTCTATATTTTCTACTTCAGTATCCGCACCATCCTGACGTTTTGAGACCATGCAAATGCTTCACTTGCAGCAGTCTTCTGGCTCCTTCACCATCTGGCACATCAGCCAAACATCCATTCTTCAGAGATGCTGTGAATAAATTACACATGGGAACTCTTCCAAAGAAACAAAAACTGATGTGAAATCATTTTTCAAGCAAATGTTTAAAGTTTAAGTGACAGCTAGGTGAACCATCAGCTGTGTAACTGACTTCAATAAGCTTTCCTTCTTAATCACTCTACTTGTGTTGAATCATGTCATCTTTCCCATCCAGGAAAAATAATTCTTTTGACTTCTTGCCCTTTTTGTATCTTAGCCACCCTTAGTCACTGAAGCTCAGTGGAAGAGGTCCTCGTTATACTTGCCTCTAACACTCACATGATGGGCTGTTGTGCTTGAAGCCTTGTACTTCTGCCTCCACACTCACTGTCTATACTTTCCTTTTTATGAAATGCACCAATACCTTAAGGTAAGAACTATGTGTGGAAAAAAATATGCTAAGACTCTTAAGGAGAAAAGGTCCGGAGCATCTAAGTGCAGAGGGTTTCTTAGGGAAATGTTGCATACACATTTTTATATGATGCAGTAAAGTCATATTTATTGCTTTTATACTCTTGGCACTGAATATATAATTATTCTTTTAAATAAAAAGTTACCTATGACAAATGTATGGTTCAGATAGTAAATGTGAAAACTATACTATTTCTGGAAACATATTTTAAAAATCTGGAATTTTTACTCATAAAAGTGCTTTATTGGTTAAACCACCTTAATTATTACAATTCACTGAAATGAGTCATAGACAATTAAAAAGTAATATGGTGACTTAAAGTGTAGGGATGAAGCAGATGTGGACACAGCATGTAAAATGGTAACTAAGAAATAGCACAAACATCCAAACCAATGTTTTCTAACTATATATGTATATTTATACATATTTATACATTTTTAAAAATTTATTTATAATCTAGAACTTGTCTTAAGTCAAGACTATAACCCTGGGATTAGTTTTAATTTTTTTAAATATGTGAAAGCCCGTAGTACATTAACACTTTCCCAATCAGGAGAAGATTTGCATTTTGAACTTTATCTCTAAATGAGTAATGAAAAATTTGTTCCTTTAAGGAATTTTAGCTTTCTCCAAAAGTGTATTTGTTTCCGTGTCTATAATTTGTTTAGTAATGTGAAAAGGATCCTATATTTAGAGCAAGTCATCTCCCACTTACTTGTGACCTCCTATAAGTTACACATCCTCTCTGAGCCTATTTGGTCCTTTGATTTAAAAAATTACATACCCATTACTGCTTCAGGATGATTAGATGGGATGATGCTAAGTGAGAAAGCTTTTGTCATCTATGAAGTGCCATGTAAATGTAAGAAGCAGTATAATTGTTTTGTAAGAGGATGAAGAAGATACCGAGAGTCCAGGGGGCTTCAGAATGCTCCTATGAGAACATCATGGAAGACTATGGACCCATGCTGCTGAGTCCTCCAATGTTTTTATATTGATCATGATGATGTGAGACCCAGGGAAGAAGGAGATGGTTCTAAATAACTACATCACAAAAGTCAGCATAAAGTTCTGCTGGTTGCACAGAGGCCTACCTTCCGCTTCATCTCTCCTTCCTCCCAGCTTGTGGGGAGCAGGCAGAGACCAGGGTATAGGTGGGCATGTCAGTGCTCTCACAGAGTGGCACCATCCTCCTCCACGGGGCGGGGGGTGAGGTTGAGGGTACGTGCTTTTTGCATCCAACACTGGCTGTCTATTCACATTGACATCAGTGGGGAAGGAGGTAGGTGTACTCAATACATAAAAATACACCACAGGGTGGTTGGTATCCTGATAGGCCCGTAATGGTGTACATGGTCAGGGTGTCCCATGGGCCTCCAGCATTGAAAATTCTTATCCTAGCATCAAGAGTTTCCATATTTGCTGGTTTTCTTTTTAAAAATGTAGATGGACATGGCTTGCACTCACTTTTAGCTTCATAAAGCTTAGTCAAAATCAAGAAAATTTTCAGTTTGAAGAAAAAGACTTTTATGTTGATAGTTTAGCTAATAGCTCTCATACAATGACTTAGCTTTTTCAGAAACAGTAAATAAACAAAAAGTGGTAATATAATTGAACTCTGAATTAGCCTTTTATTGCTTTACAAATCACACAAGAGTGTCTAAGATCAGAAAGTCATTTTGACATAATCATTAAAAAATTACTCAGAATGTAAAGTAAGAGCAAGTTGTATCTAATAATTACATTCTTAGATACCTGACTACTTAATTTGGTTAGCAAATGATTATTGTACAAGTAATCTCAAAATGTATTCTCTGAAAATTCTAAAGTAATAGTTTTCTTGAAGTATATTATATTCTATTTGTTAAATACCTAGCAATTGTCATGAAATGGGCCATTGCACAAAAAGAGAGACCAATGTTAGTGGGACAAGAATAAAAATAAAATGGGAGCACTTTAGTGGAGGCCAGGCAGTATTCATATGAGATTAATGGGCAGATGTGAGGACTTGGTTTCCTCCTTTCATTCACTTGGGACCTGGGGTCTGGAAAACGATCTACACAGCCTTATCACAATCATCGAGAGAACCCAAAAGTTGCTTAATTACTCACAAACAAAGCTAACTCATGAGAAAGATAGCTAGAGAGAGAAAGCATCTGGTTTCCTTGTCTGGATTTTGCCTTTGAGGTATTGGGTGTGTCAACAAACAAGTTAATAGATTTAATATTAGAGAAAGCAAGTTCAAAGAGCTCGCCAGATAATACTTATCTAACTCTGCTGTTTATACACTACCACTGACCCAGAAACCAATCATTTACAGTGTTTTTGAAGCTTTGAGATGATAAGGAAAATGAGGAACATATGTATGATCAATCGTCCCCATAATTTATGCATATGGGGACCTGTAAATATTGATTTTTCCAATTTACACATTTGCAATCAGCAATAAATCACATTAGTGTAGAGTAATCCAGTTTCATCATGTCCAGTAAAGCTCAGGCCAGTCTTGAAGCCTATGGGTAAATCTTGCTGCTGACCTGGGGTCTATATTACCATTCAGTTCACTGGTTCTCCACACATCATTAATGGTACAATAATTCTTGTGAAATAAACAAACTTTTTTTTCTCCAAGACAGTTGTCAAAAGGAATTACATTTCTGTCTACTTTGATAAGGGAAGAAAAATTGAAGAATTCTAACTAAATGATAGTTTATACACAGAAATTTAGTACTACATAAAGAAGGAATGGTAATATTGAAACTGATTACATTTTTTGTTATGAGCTAGTCTACCATCTGGACAATTGGGAAATTGGAAGATAAAAAAAATGATTCATGAAAGAGTGTTCTGACCAGTGCCAAAATTAAACATGAAATGATAAGTAAATCATAATATGCCTGAAAGATGTTACTAACTATATTCAGCTATTTCCCTGAGATTGGGGGGGGGCAATTTATATAATAGACTTTTGTAATTTGAGAGTTTATAATATCTTGGGACTTTGCTATCATGAATATATAATGTGCATTACTCACAAAAGTGGATATCTCTCTAACTCTCTGGAAGAGCAGATGTCTTGTAGCTTTTCCCACAGGCTGGGAAAGGAAAAAGGAAGAAAGGAAAGAGCTACAATGCTTACCACTGGGACAAAAACTCATGACTCTGACTATTTCCCTTTCCCCTTGCTTAGTCTTTTAGACTGACTGGGGGAATGAGAGGAATAATTGTTGTGCGGCCAAGCATTAATAATCTTTATTTTTTAATTTAGTTGGTATTATATATATTTTTACATTACTTTTTAGTCCCCTATATCACCACAGCAATCACCTCTAGCAATTACCGCACATTTGTCCATGTCCATGAGTCCTTTTTCTTTTTGCTCAATCCCTCCATCCACTAACCTACCACTCAACTAGCTGTCATCCTGCTCTCCATCTCTGGGTCTGTCCCCACTTTCTTTGTTAGTTCAATTTGTTCATTAGATTCCATATTTGAATGAAATCATATTGTATTTGTCTTTCTCTGAAGGACTTATTTCACTTAGCATAATGTTCTCCAGATCTACCCATACTATTGCAAAGGGGAAAAAATTCTTTTTTATGGCCAAGTAGTATTCTATTGTGTAAATGTCCCAGAGTTATTTTATCAACTCATCTACTGATGGACACTTGGGCTGCTTCCATATCTTGGCAATTGTAAATAACTCTTCAATGAACATAGGGGTATTTATGTTCTTCCAAATTAGTGTTTTGGGTTCCTTCTGATAAATTCCCAGAAGTGGGATCACTGATTCAAATAGAAGATTCGCTCTTCATTTTTTGAGGTATCTCCATACTGTTTTCCACATTGGCTGTACCAGTCTGTATTTCCACCAACAGTGCAAAAGAGTTCCCCTTTCTCTACATCCTCAACAGCACCTGTGGTTTCTTGATTTATTGATGATAGCCATTCTGACAGGTGTGAAATGGTACCTTATTGTGGTTTTTATTTGCATTTCTCTAGTGATTAGTGACATTGAGTATCTTTTCATATGTCTATTGGCCATCTGTATGTCCTCTTGGGAGAAGCATGTATTCAGGTCCTTCATCCTTTCTTAAAAGGGTTGTTTATTTGGCGTTGAGTTTTGTAAGTACTTTGTGAATTTTGGATGTTAACCCATTAACAGATGTATAGGTGAATATGTTCTCCCATTATGTGGGTTATCTTTATATTTTGCTCATGATTTCCTTTGCTATGCAAAAATTTTTAGTTTGATGTAGTCCCAATTGTTTATTATTTTCTTGAGTTTCCCCTGCCTGGGGAGATATATCCAATAAAAAATTGCCAGAAGCAATGTCCAAGATTTTGCTGCCAATGTTTCTTAAAGGATTTTTATCGTTTTGGGTCTAACATTTAAGTTTTTGATCCATTTTGAGTTTATTTTTGTATGTGGTGTAAGAAGGTGGCTATTTTCCTTTTTCTTCACATATCTGTCCAATTTTTCCAACACCATTTATCAAATAAACTCTCTTTAGCTCATTGTATTTGCTTCCTTCCTCTGTTGAATATTAATTGAATATAAAAGTGTAGGTTTATTTCTGGGCTCTCTATGCTGTTCCATTGACTTATGTGTCTGTTGTTATGCCAGTACCATGCTGTTTTGATTATTATGACCTTATAATAGAGTTTTATATTAACTAGTGTGATTCCTCCAACTTTGTTTTTCATTCTCAGGATAACTGTTGCTATGT